TTTTTCTTTATGGTTGGTTCTCTTTTAGTTTTGAGCATTAAGGGAAGATTTAGAAAAGACACAAAACCAAGTGAGGTGTCCAAGTCTCACTGACTTCCAAAGGGAGTTGGTTACCTAAATGTCATTTGTGCCTTTTACACTGCTGATTCTTTGAAGTAAAGATTGAGTTCATTCCAAAACAATGTCTATACCACAGTCACAGCAGCAATATTACTGTATTATAGATACCTGGTATCAGTAGCAATCTGGGTGTGGCAGCATGAAAATGTGTGGGCTCTGTCGGCTCTAGATTCAGAACCCAGAGGCGAACCATCCTCAGACCAACCATGACTTTTTCATTTGATAATAGGCGAATTTATTGATGCACAGTAGTAACAGAAAAGAAACAATATAGACAATGAAGCAGTTCTGTATATCTACCAAATCCTAGGGCTGTCATTAAAGTCAAAGTACATCTGAGCAGGATGCAGTCTTCATTCTGAGGCTCTCTCTTTGATGACAGATGTCAGCATGTCAGCAGTTTGGAGGTGGGATGCTGAGGCCCACACACCCGACCAGTGGAATGGATGAGAGAGGCTGGTGGTGTGCCCTCTGTCCTGGTGGCCTCGGGGACCCTTCCTGGGTAACAGGAATGGGGTCCCCTCTCAGGAGGGAGGAACAGGAGGAGGGACTTGGGCAGGAGACAAGGAGGGACAGAGAGGGAGGGACAGGAAGGAATGATGGGCAGGAACCCTTTGCTGCTCCAAAGTTCTTCTCTTGTATTTTCCTTCCCTTCTGATAACTCCTGATGACCTTTCATCCATGGCTACTGCTGGTTGGTTCCTCTGTGTGGTTGTTATACATCCACATATCTTATTACATGCACACATACTAATTTGGTCTTCTTGGGCCTTCTCTTAATTTAGTCTGTTCCCCCAAAACCAGGACTCAGTCCCCACTGCTCTGGGGCCTTGTTAGCTGGTGCCACTGTATCTCATGTAATGGAACAGTATGGTACATGTCCCTAGTTCCCAGACTGTTTTCTAGACTATGTGTCCTTGTTGGCCTTGTTGTGTTAGACAGCCTGCTTTCTAGGGCTGTGTGAAACTGGGTCACTGTAGGACGCAGACTCTTAGAAATCAGCTAACCCCTACTGCCCATCCTGAACCATTCTAATCTATATACATGTACCTATAAGCCAATTCTCAAAAAGCAAACCTTTAAATAACATTTCTAAGCCATCAGGCCCCAAAACCTGCTTGAGGAACAGGCTACATTAGCTACACAGCTAGCAAATCTAAAGTCAGCTACATTTTCTCTACACTACAGCACAGTCCCTACTGCGTTTTAGACAGATCCCAAGTCTTAAAACAGCACTGAATGGTGGATGGATCTCTTCAAACCTGAGAGTGTGGGACTTTCTGAGGAATTTTGCTGGGTAGATTTGTGCTCTCTTAAAGCTCAAAAGTCCCTTCACAAGACTTTATAAACACAAAATTCACAGACAGTACACCCATCTACACTTCTGCTTTTCAGCCCTTTTGTTACACCTCCCATAGTAGCCAGTATATGAAACCACTTGCCCATAGGTTTGAACAGAGTGTTCTGGTAAGAGTGTAAACCCCATCACATTTGATTTCTTTTTTCATCAGTGGCTCACTGTTTGGTGGTAATAAATTAGATAATCACAACCATCAAGAGGATTATGAAGATAATAATTAACAAATGAAGCTGTTGAAGGATTTATAATTCTGGCCTGATCCTGAAGCAGTTTCCCAGGGAAAGAGCATGATCCAGCTCTCATTTGCCAGTAATTAACACAGAGTTTATTGCATTTTAATTACTGTTTTAATTAATGTACTACTAAGCTCAGAAGATGGGACTCAATAGCAAGAACTGAATGGGTTTCACAAGTTACCACTTTTTTCTTTGCTCCTTATATAATAAATGTAAGAGTGTAGACTGGCAAAAGCATCTGGACACACTTGAAAGTTATCATCTTTGTTACAATATATTTTATGGGCGAATGAACTGACTGGGTTCCCTATAAGATATCTATTCAGGGAACAACCATAATGGGCCCATGCTGGGTAACAGCCCTTGTTTTGTGTCCTACCTCAGGTAATATTAAAAGGCTATAACACCATGTGAGCTAAAGCAACTCTTTGCTGGTGTATATAGGTCATTCTATGTCAGTACCTCTTCCCCATCTATCTCTCTGTGAAAATAGTAAGTTAGGGTTTGCAAAAAGAGTTGTGGGGACCCTGCTGTACTACTTCAATCTTCCACTGATGTAGAATCCATTTAAGACCCTCCATGCCATAAAATTGCTGGGCATCTCCTCTCTGTGGCACTTCAACCAGAGCTGATTATCCACATAAGGAAGCCAAAACCATTTCAAAGACTCGTATGAACTATGCTGCATGAAGTGGGGCACCAGTAAAGGAGAGCATCCACATGCACCTACCTGCATTCTTACTGTAACAGTGCCACTCAATGGGCTAGTTTCAATCTGGCTGAATGCCACAGAGTGAGTATAACATGGTCAAAGACCCATCACTCCAGATGGCAGAAGGAGTTTGAAGAACGGTTCTTACATACTGTGGCAGCTGAAAAGTATGTCTGTGTGATAAAGGTGCTTGCTGGAGGCTCTATGAAAATTAAACCAAGAGTTTTTCTATATTTGTTTAGATATTAAGCTATAAGTTGTTGCTAAAAGCCTAATTATAGTTTAAGATGTAGTAAGGCCTTGTATAAAGTAAAGCCTAGTAAATTTAGCAAAGCCTAAAAGTAGTAAGGCCCTGTAGCGCAGTTAAAATTACCTTATTAAAGGAATGCAAGGCTTGTACTGCTATTGGTCAGTCTATGGACAGTTGAAGAAAAAGGAATCTAAGAGGTTGTATGTTATCAGTGTCCTTCAGAAGCTATAAATTAGCTGAAATATTTGGAAACCATTCAGAAGGAAGATACAGCTCTGTGAAAAGGATAAGTTAGCTGTTGCCTGGATCAGTGGGCCTGTGGACCTCGAGGAGCCCAAGAACTGCATTCCAGGGTCCTTCCTTGCACCCCTCAGACAGCGTTGTCTGGGGACACCTGACCTCACTGAACTTTGTGGAAAGAGAAGCTTGCTGTGTATCAGGCATCGGAGGGACTGCCTATAATTTGCTGACGTGAATTGCTTTTGTCTGTCATCGTTTGTCTTGTTACTACGCATAGTTGTGTTTTTCTTAAGTCAATAAACCTTTCTTACCTTCTACCCCTGACCACACGCTCAATCTAAACCCTCAGCAGGCAGCTGGGACATAAATTGGCATCACGAACAGGATTGAGAGGCTCTGGTCTGGAGAGAAAGGTTGGAATGGAGGGTTGCATGGGCTCCGTTAGTGGCTTTGCTTAAGGAGGTGACGGGGATGGAGAATCCCAGGTGGGATAAGGATAGATTGAGACCTGCCTGGAGTGAACAGTACCCGATCGTTGGGCTAGGTTTGCTGCTGCTGCCCGAGGTAAACCCAGGAAGGGGTGCCTGTCGTGGCTGCTGGCCACATGCTTGCAGTTAGGGGCTGAAGCAGTCACCCAGCTCTGGGAACAGGTCACCCAGCTGAGTAAGGAATTAAAAGATGTGAGATATTCCAACAGCATGGCGTGTGAGGTGGCGTGGGCCACTCAGAGCCATTTGGTGACTTTGGAGAGGAGGGAGGGAAAAATTATGATTGCATGCGTGGCTGCTTCCCTCTAGAAAAGGGTACAGTTAGCACAGGCTGTGGAACCATCCTTCCACAAGATCAGACAGTGTCTTTATGGGCAGAGACCAAAAGTTGAGCTCTGGGAAGATGGAGAGGAGGAGACTGATGACAAGCCTGGTGGTAAACTGCCCCCTTACGTCCCTGCCCAGAGGGAGGAACCTAGCCAGGTCTTCCCTATGATAGTAACCCGTTCAGGGCATCAAGGAGGGAATACCCGGACAGAGCTGTGTTCATTTACCCAAGCGGAAATAAGAGATATACAAGAACAGCATAAGTCCAAGCCAGGAGAACCAGTGATAGACTGGCTAGTTCAAATGTATAGTGAAGGAGCTTCTGCAAGTTCAGTGAGTAAAGCCGAAGCAGCCCAAATCATTCTGTGCCCTGAGCTCCAGTTAAATCAGTTTGCAGGGGGTGATGAAAATGTTACTTTGTTTTCTGCTGTGCTCCAAGCCACTGCAGCCAGTTATGGTAATATGGAAGAAGAGCTTAGTCCTGCTCCTCGATCATGGGTCAATTTGAAGGAGGCTGTTGGTTGCTTGTATCAATTGGCGCTAACTGAGATCATTCGTGCAGCAATTTAAACTCACACACCAGATGCAGAAGTTGTGACAGCACTGTTGTGGAGGAGGTTTTGCCGACGAGCACCAACAGAGTGTACCTCGGCCTTGTTGGCCCTGGAGCCAAAGGCAGTAGATCACCCTGTAAGAGATGCAATTTGGCGATTAGTGCAGCTTCTACCCATTTTGCAGAAGCCAGGGCTGGCTAAGCTGACAAAAACTGACAATGCCATGGCGGTGGCCTCAGTGGAAGACAAGCCCCTTGATCCCCCTGAATTGTTGGAAAAAGCTGGAGAAGGCTGGCCCAAGACCCTGCGAGCAAAATTGTGGAAGAACTTGTTAACTGCCGGTTTTAATAAAGTGAAAATTGATGGAGTGCCCACCAGTGTTTTGTGAGGGCTGTAGGATGGTGGGCCCACAGTACCAACTGAGAAGCCACGAAATATAGTAGAGACCCCAACTCCCACTAATGTGAAAGAACTGCAAGTCCAGTTGGGAGCACTCAGCCTTTGGTGTATGCATGTTCCTGAGTTTAGTGTATTAGCTCATCCCTGTATAACCTATGTAAGAAGAGAACTAAATAGAAATGGGGTCCTGAGCATAAATATGCTTTACAAGCCCTTAAAGAAGCAGTAACTGTTCATGCCTCCCTAGCAACACAACATCCAGAAGGAGAGCTTTGGCTCCGTATAGGCATCTCGGAAGGAGGACCGCACTGGAGCCTGTGGTAGAAGTCCTCGGAAGCAGAAGGAAAACCCCATATATTCTAGAGCTCAGGCTGGAGAGGGGTGGAAGCCAGGTATACTGTCTTAGAACAGATGTTGTGTGCAGCAGCAGCAGCCCTGGAAGCCACAGAAGCACTGAGAGGAGAATTGCCCACAGTTATCACTACTCCAATACCTATTCTCAGAATGGCCCTGTCAGACCACCAGCTACCACCTGGGGGGACAGCCCAAGACACCACGGTCCAAAGGTGGATTTATTACATTCTCAGCCAAGTCCAATGAGTAACCCCAAAGGGATGCCCTGAATTAGTCGAAAGAGTCACAGAAAGTACAATTAATGTTTATCCTGATCAAACAAGCTGCAGTGAATCTTCACCCATCAAAGAAGCACCTCCTTTCTCACCTGAAATGGAGACCTCAGCTGATGTTGAAGTCTGGTTCACAGATAGGTCCACTCAAGGTCGTGTCTGGAGAATAGCCGCCTTGAGGATTCAAGATGGCAAGCAAGTAGTATCACAAGGCCTCAGAAAAAGCGTGCAGTATGCTGAGCTCCAAGCAGTGCTCAGCTTAGCTGTGTGGGAATTAATAGAAGATCCACGTCCTAAAAGTCCCATCTATATTTATAGTGACTCCTGGATGGTAGTAGAAGGATGTACTAAATGGCTACCCCTGTGGCATAAAGAGAACTTTAAAAGGCAAGGACAAGACATTTGGAGCCACGAAGAGTGGAGAGTCTTATGGGAGCTAGCCCAAGATAAGCTTCCTCTGCACATCCAACACGTGAGTGTAGCACATGGAAATAAAGCAGCGAAAGGCCCAGAGGCAAAGTGGAATAGGCGAGTTGATCAGCTAACAAGAGAGGAGAGCGCGGAAACCTTGTATGTTGAAGAAAAAAAAAAAGCGGCTGGTCCATCATTACCCAATTCCTCCTCCCACTGTACACCTGGAGAACGAGCCGCAGAATGGTTACATCAGCAACACAGGCACCCCAGGTGTGATGGAACAGCCCACCTGGCTGCATCTTGGGGCATTCATGTAACTAAGAAAGAATCACAAGAAATAGTCGGTGCATGCATCACTTGCCATGAGGTAAAAATGTGGCTAAAACCCTGCCCGACTATCCCGTTGTCATTACACGAAGGAAAAGTAGCATGGCAGGTATGGCAATGTCATTTCATAGGCCCCCTCCCTCAAACTTCCTAAAAGCAACAGTACGTGTTTGTAGCTGTAGAAGTTGTCACAGGAATGATGTTTGCCCACGCCCCAGTGAGAGCTACAGCCTAGGACACTTGTGCAGTACTGGAAACTTTGCTAGCTGTGTATCCACCACCTATAGAAATACAGAGTGATAATGGCCCTCACTTCTGCAACCATCTTGTGTATGACTGAACTGCCAAACATAGCATGTTATGGACCTATCACATCCCATACCATCCACAGTCTACCAGATTGGTAGAGCAAGCCATTGGCATCCTCAAATGCAATTTGCAGTTAGCCACTGGCCCGGCTCTTAAAGACTGGGACTTGCACCTGGATCGAGCTACCAATTGGGCCAATAACCGAACCTGTCCGGGAGGTAGCCCCATGCAGCAACCCTTTGGATTAGGTGATCCCTGTGAGCTGGCAGTAGGGCGACCTACGGGTGGTGACCCACGAAAGCTCCAGGCAGGAGATCAGGTAGTAGTGAAGCATCCTCAGGGAGATAAATGGAAGGGGACATTATTAGCCAGAAGTATGCATAATACATGGTGGATATTTAAGTCAGATTCACCTAATGGGAGCCAAGCTCCTTGTTGTCTTTTTCTTACAGATTGGATCTGTCCACAAGTGCAGCCATAACCATTCCTAATTGAGCCTGCCACTGAAGATGAGTTCTGCTCTGTCAGCGGCCTAAATCGACTGGCACCATGAAGTAGTGGACTATTATAAATGTATTCTTTTTATTAATGCCTTATTGTGTTTCCTGGGTAGAGCATGTCTACTATCCTTCTTATTACCCAGATATTAATGAACTTGCTCCTGAAGACCTCAAGGAGTGGCTTTACCCTGAAGAGCATCTCCCGGAAACGCGCTCAGATGGCCTTCACGTGGTCCAGCTGCAGTATCCATACTGGAAGAAACCTGTCACCCCGGAGCAAGTGAAGTCCTGGTCTCTGAGTAAAAGAAACAAGATAGATGACTGGCAAAGTGGTAACTGTCAGTGCACCTGTAGCACTAGTTATTATCTTGAGTTTCTTCCCTACCTGAAGGCTGGAATGGCTAACTGTGGGAGGGGAGGGGATTATTACAGCTCTGCTCATTTGAAAATTTGTTGTTACATACTTCCTAAAGGGAATCCCGTTAAGCTCAACGCCCCTGAGTTTGTGTCCCCAATACTGCATTCTGCATCTGTTCAGCATCTCGAGCCACTGCGTTTATGAGAAAATCTGCCCCCTCCCATTCCTATGGGAGAGTGGATCACACTCTCCAGTGGAGGTGTGAGGCTCACCAGGTGGGAGAGTGCATTACAGGTTGGAACAAAGTTATTACATGGTTTGTGAATCATACCTACACAGAGGAGTGGTGAAATGGTACCCACTTTAATACAACTAGAAGTAGGCTGTATCCACAAGTCTCCACCACTTGTCCTCATCCTTTCATGCCAGTGGGATTCCTAAAGCAAATCAGTGCTATGATTCTGCCAGGACAATGCCATTTCATTAACCCAATACAGCATGAGTGACAGTGGGAGCTCTTTTGCTCTCTGGGAGGTGAAGCATGCTTACAGGCTCCCCATGAAGGAAGGGTAAATGTGACTTGTAAAAAAATGGGGTGTTCACTACTATCTCTGGCCATTCCCCCACGAGAGGCCCCAACACTGCCTGTGTATAACTCCACACCCTGGTAGAGGTCATAAGTTAAAATTCCAACCCTCCTAAATGCTTCATTGTTCACTGTCCGAGTGTTGTTCAGACCAGAACAATGGTATGTCCAAGCTACTTTTCCAAACTGTTCAGCAGGAGCCCGGGTAGCTGAAGGGTTGCTTAGATGGGAATGGCCAGTCATTTTCCGTTCCATAAGTGCACTTAAGTCCCTCAGACAAAGAGATACTCCAGGTTATCTTTGGAACGGACTTAACTCAGCTACGAATGTATGGAACTTGGATAAATCCTAGGAAAACACTGAAGGAGTAGCCAATATCCAACAGGCAGTAGGGCTAGTCACTAGAGAAGGCATGCTCGAAGGAAAAACGTTAGAGCACACTAATAAATTGCTAACTGATGTAGGATTAGAGATATCCCATCTTGCCCAGGTCATGATGGACACTGCTTTTAAAGCAGACAAAAATCAGACTTGGAGTACTGCTTGTGCGCAAGTTCATTTATCATTGAATATGCATTTTTCCCAAGTAATAAACAATGTTAAAAATAGAGAATAGCCCCCTGGCTTAGAGCATCATAGCATGCCTGCAACATTTAAAGAAAGATACCCCTATCAAAGTATCTGGGTTACTACTTGAGAAGGCTGTGATAAAGGAAAATGTTCATTTCTGGTGCAGGGAATAAAAGAAGGAAACTGGACCACTGCTTATTTGCTAAACATGAGGTTAGGAGGAGGATGCCTTTGGGACTGGAATTTGCATCACCCCATATGGGAAATAGTTACCCCTGATGGCCCACGGTATGTGGCACAGTCCCCCTTGGTTCAAATTAGTAGCACCTTGATTGGATTAGGAACCCTATGAAGAGGCTGGCCTCTCAGCCCACCTAACATGACCTGCATATACGAGTTACCTAATGTGTCATATGTAACAATAGGGCAACGTGTTTGTTGGGAGGGACTAAGTTGTTTGCTGCATGAAAATGGTACCACCTGGACTTTGTGTAATTCGTGTTGCTTAGGAGCTAAAAGTGGAGCCGTTTCTCTACTACAATTAAGTAACCGCAGTATTGCCCTAAAATGGCCAGCAATTTCCTCTGAAACTATATCTCTCAACTTCACGATACCCACTTCATGGGTATCAGATGTAGACATGCCACGGTTAGAAAACTGGAATAACATGAAAAATAAGCTGCAAAGCCTTGAAGCAAAGGCTCAGTGAGGCACTGAGTTAGCTCTCCCTCCTCAAGAGGGTGGACGAATCATCAGTCTGGCTGTCAACGTGCCCAAGCCATGTAAATGGTATGATGTAATCTGTACTATTCATGTGTCACCAAGTGTCACCTCACCTACATGGCTAACCATCTTGAGCATCATAGTATTCTGCATTGCCCTAGTGGCAACTGCTAAATGGTGTTTCAACCGTTGTCATTGTAAATCTGTTCATGATATGCAAGTTAAATTTATAGATCCCTCCCCCTTTCCCGATGTAGCGCATGTGGCTTTGGCATCTCAATTGTAGCTATCATAGTGCTTCAGCAAGCAAGGGATGGAGTGTGTCAGCTGAAAAGTATATCTGTGTGATAAAGGTGCTTGCTGGAGGCTCTATGAAGATTAAACCAAGTGTTTTTCTGTTTTTGTTTAGATATTAAGCTCTAAGTTGTTGCTAAAAGCCTAATTATAGTTTACGATGTAGTAAGGCCTTGTATAAAGTAAAGCCTAGTAAATTTAAGAAAGCCTAAAAGTAGTAAGGCCCTGTGGAGCAGTTAAAATTACCTTATCAAAGGAATGCAAGGCTTGTACTGCTATTGGTTGGTCTATGAACAGTTAAAGAAAAAGAAATCTAAGTGGTCGTACATTATCAGTGTCCTTCAGAAGCTATAAATTAGCTGAAATATTTGGAAACCATTCAGAAGGAAGATACAGCTCTGTGAAAAGGATAAGTTAGCTGTTGCCTGGATCAGTGGGCCTGTGGACCTCGAGGAGCCCAAGAACTGCATTCCAGGGTCCTTCCTTGCACCCCTCAGACAGCGTTGTCCAGGGACGCCTGACCTCGCTGAACTTTATAGAAAGATAAGCTTGCTGTGTATTGGGCATCAGAGGGACTGCCAATAAGTTGCCTACATGAATTGCTTTTGTCTGTCATCGTTTGTTTTGTTACTACGCGTAGTTGTGTTTTTCTTAAGTCAATAAATCTTTCTTACCTTTCTTCCCCCGACCACACTCTCAATCTAAACCCTCTGCAGGCAGCTGAGACAACATACTGTGCATGACACTTTCCATAGGTGCAGTAAATTCTGCTAAAAACCTGCTTCCTTCTTCTCACTTTACCTGGAAGCAGGGTTTACAATGAAGAAGAATGCAGGAGAATACAGCTCCCTCTCTCGTGCTTAAATAAAGGAGAGCTCCTTCTCCTCTTTCTCTGCCCAGTTTTGTGGAGACATGAAACCGAGCAAAAGATTGATTGATTATCAGGAATTGATATCTGCCATCAATTAAACCACATGATTCTTTCCCGGGGAAAATATTTAGAGCCTTTTACTTCAGTGTTTTTAAAAGCAAACTACACAAAACCCTAGGGAACTCCTCAGTAAAGGGGACAATGGCTAAGCCAGTCCTTTATCTTCCAATAGAGGTCTCACTCAAAAATCATAGGGGGCCAGTTCTGTGTAGTATCTGCATGGTAAAAAGAGACTTCAAACAGAGGCTTTTTTTACAGACCAGAAATAACAGTGACTTGATAATAAAACCTAATAAGTAATTTAAACTGGACTAACCAGAACTACTACCTAAGCTGGTCAAAACATTTTTTCAAGAAGTATTTTCTAATAAATGGTGCTCTCCTCAATGCAAAATTAAAACAAGGAAATATATTTTCACACATTCAGAACTTTCTGATTTTTTAAAATTGATTTAAATGCTTTTGTTCTCTTTCAAGCAGAGAAAAATGATGACACTAAAGACAGAGGGCCTAGTAAATATCTCTGAAGTATTCCACAGCAACAATGAATTGGACTTACAAAAGTGTGGCTTGGAAGCTGCAAAAGATCAATGGCAATCTGGTGTTTCCAGATGTTGTGGAATAATGTATTCTATTAGAGACAGGTTAGAGATAGAGAGACAGGTTTAAGTGTTGACTTCAAAATACTCCAGCTCAAGCTGTCTCAACTTTGTCCTTGATGTGTGTTTACCTCATATAACTGTTAATGGCTTCCATATAAATCATGTAAACATGAACTCTAGGTATTTTGTTTGATTGTCTTCCTAGATAATAAAACTACCCTACTTTGGAAAACAATGCTATCTTTGATTGTAGAATGGTGTTGTAATGCCTTTCCTTGTTATCTAGTCAAACCTCACAAACTAAACTGGATCAATTGACAGGTTATAAGGAAAAAGAAAGTCAATGTAGGAAATGATGCTTATTCATTTATGAAGTTGCATGCATCTCAAAGTGTCAATACCAAAGATTCTGTCTAAGGTCTGACATTTGTTGTCATTATATGATAAGATGTTTAGATCAAATCCAACTGGGAATTTATACTGTATTTACTTGAATTTAAGATGACCCTCCAATAATTAGATTCTATATATGGAAAAATTATAAATTTGTTATAATTTTTCAGGTATACAATCTAGTTACTGGAGGTTTGCCTTAATTTTGTCCCCCTACCATTGATACAGTAGGGAAAATAAAGCTGGGGGTTCAGGTAGCCCTCTTGCCCCACAACTTCCTTTCCTTGCAACCCCTCCCCATCCCTTACTGTCAGACCTGGCTCTCCCTGAGTACATGGAAGTGAGGAGCAAATTTGAAACATTGACTTTAAAATAAACATGCTTGGAGTAATTTTGTTAATCTTTTAAATCCCGAATTGATGCATTTTACCTTTTATGAAACTTCTACAAGGTTTAGTATAGGTACTCCATAAACACACTTTTAAGCAGCACTTGTTTACTTACTGATATATATTACAAATTGGGCATGTGTCTACATGTGCACTTTTATGCACATTGGCCTATTTTAATGCACATTAAAGTGTCACTAAAACTATGCTATTTAGTTAATGCACATTAAAATAAGCTAATGCTCATTAAGCATCACTTAAGAACTGTGGGCACTTTTACATGTGCTCCAGGGGTGGGGGGCAGCACTTTAATTAGAGCAGCTTTCTCTGGGGAGAGCCACTCTAATTACGGTACTGAAGTGTCTCATGTATCAGCATCCCCACACTTCAAAATGGTGGTGGTAGCACTTGAACTAAAGCTCATTCAATGTGCTTTAGTTCAAACACCCCCACCACTTTTGTGAAGTGCAGGGATGCTGATATACAAGACATGGGAGGCCACTGGAGTATAGTAATTACCACACTCCAGCAGACTCGAGTCTGCTCTTATGCCCTGTAATTACAGCACATTGAAGCAGCTTCTGCACTCATGCATAGGCACCCTGTATTCTTTAGTTAATGTGTATGAAGACAGTCTAATGCACATTTTCCTAATACCTCAAGTACTAGATTTAATGCACATTAACTAAAACATGCTAATGCACATGTAGATGTGCCAACTATGCATGATATTGGTCC